TCTTTCACATTTATTTTTCCTCTATTGCTTTGCTTGGGTGCTCAGGGGCAACTCCTGGTGTGCAGCTTGGGGGTCACCCCCCACCCCGAGATTCTCAGCAAACCAGGAGTGTCAAGGATATAACTGGGCCTCCCACGTGTGAAGCATGTACTCTGACCCTTTGAAGCACCTCCCTGGCCCTCCTCACATAATTCTTGCTCATTGAGACCCAACCCAAGCCCAGAATGACCCTTTCCTCACTCTCCAAGGAAAATTTCTGAGCCTCCTAATTCAGAAGAATCAATCTTACCTCTAAATCCAACAGCACTTACTGTTTTCAAGACCTATGCTTCTTTTCCTTGGATCATTATTTAATTCCTTCATATAGATTTAGTTTTTCTCCAATTTAGACTTCCAGTGTTCAGAAGACAAGGACTCTCTCTTCCATCTTTTCTCCTCTCGCAAGATATAATATACACTCTTGCCTATGTGACTCTAGCTGACTCAGCCTCTGCCTGAAAAGGGATCCCTCTGTCCCTAAATGATCTCAGTCTCCTCCACAGCGCTGGTGAGCAATCATTGGAAATGACAGTGCTGCTTATGGACTTCAGCCCTGGGGTAGGAGGAAGCGATGACAAGAAGGTCGAGATTGACTGAAGCAATCCTTTTCGGCTCAAGGACAACCTTAGAACTGTAGGTTGTTTGAGTAATTCGAGTTGGATAGCACAAAAGGGTTGCCACAGAAATTGTGTGAGACCAGTCAAGGAAATACCTTGGGGCTCCCCTCTATCACAGGAGTCCTCTAGGGAGCTGCATCCCTTGCCAATCGTTTATGCTTATTGTTGGGAGTGAGGAGCAGAGAATGTGTGTATGTCTTCATGCATGGGCCACTCTTAGAGAAAAAAAGCAACTCAGAGTTGCTTTGGCAGTGAATCGGCAGCATTCCTCTTTTTGGAAGCTAGGTTTACCCAGTGGTGCTTCATGGGAGGTCTTATCAGCTCTGTGCTTGGGGGTCACTCCTGGCAGTGATCAGGGGACCATGTGGTGCTGGGGAACCAAACCAAGTCTTCGGCATGCAAGGCATATTCTCTTCGTGTTGAGCTCTCTCTCCATGACCTACCATGAGCATTTCTTTTGTTGTCAGAAGAACTAGCACTGTTATAGCAAATTCTAACAAAAATATCTCAAAGTCCCTGCTATTTACCAAGCTTTTCACTTTTTGGTTTGGGAGCTGTACTTGGCAGTGCTCAGGATCCTTCTTGGCAGTGCTCAGTGAGCTATGAAGTTCCAGGAATTGAACCTGGACCACCTACATACAAAATATACACTTAGCACATTGAGCTAGCTCTCTGTCCCTGCTAACCATTTTTGATCTGTGATAAGTAAGTCTCTCTTGTTCAGAAATCATTAGACCCAAGTTTCTCAATTTTGCTGTTTACAATTTGATTTGGAGAGTTGTTTGGGAGCTATCTTGTGCAATATCTGATGTTTGGTGTCATTCCTGGCCTTTACTCTCTAGGCACCAGTAGCACCTGCCAAATGTAACAACCAAAAGTTGTTAGATACGACCAAACTGCCTTCAGTGAATAACCACAGAATTAGACATAGAGCCTTGGGAGAAAGCTATCACTTGATCACTTGACATCCCGTTACTCATCGATTTGCTCGAGTGGGCACCAGTAATGTCCTCATTCATGCCTGTAGCATGCTAGTGTAGCCCAATGGTGTCTGCTCGATCTAGGAACACGATGAGCCTCACACTGATCGTTCAGGGTCTTGATGAAGACATCTGACCATCTCTTAGGTGGGCGGCCACACGATCTTTTGACGTCCGGGGGAATCCAGTGGCTCTAGTCCAGCGGTTGTCTCCAAATCGCATTACTTGTCCAGCCCATCTGATCTTCGACGCCTTGGCAAACCAGACAGCGTCCCTGATTCTCAACCATTGACAGAGGTCAGAACTCCGGATTCTTTCTCGCTTTTGAATGAAGTGTGATACTCCAAGCATAGCTCTTTCAATTCCTCTTTGGGAGACCCAAATAGCATTCTCATCCTGTTTTTGTAGGGCCCAGGTCTCTGAGGCGTATGTTAATGCAGGAAGAACAGTGGAATCGAAGAGATGTGCTTGGAGTCGGAGGTTCTTTGTCCTCTTAGCTATTTCTTAGATGTTCTTGATGGTATTCCAAGCCACTCTCTTCCTCCTGCGCAACTCAGGTGCCAGGTAATTCATCATGTTGACTTCTCGACCTAGGTACATATAACTGCTGCATTTGGAGATGTTCGTTCCGTTGAGAGTGAATGGAACATCAGGAATGAGACTGTTTCTCATAAACATCGTCTTCGTGAGATTCAACTGTAGTCCGACCTTTCCACACTCATGGTTGAATTCAGCCAGCATTTGTGCCGCTTGGCTAATGTTTGGTGTTATTAGAACAATATCATCATTGAAACAGAGGTGGTGTAGTTGTCAACCGTCTATCTTCACTCCCATTCCTTCCCATTCCAGTAGTCACATGACGTCCTTGAGGGTGGCACTGAAGAGTTTTGGTGAAATGGTATCACCCTCCCGAACCCCAATCTTGACATGGATGATCACTTCCTTGTAGAATGGTGAGATCCTGGTAGTGAATTTGTAATACAGCTCACGAAGGATCCTGATGTATTTAGTTTGAACATCCTGTTTGGCTAGGGCTTCGATGACTGCTTCTGTCTCAACAGAATCAAAGGCCTTCTTTAAATCAATGAATGTTAGACAGAGCGGCATCTTGAACCCCCGAGAAACCTCAATGAGCTTGGTTATTGTGTGGATATGGTCGATTGTGCTGAATCCTTTTCGGAAACTGGCTTGCTCGCATGGTTCTCCTTCATCTAGTGTTCTTCCAATCCTATTCAGGATGACTCGAGTGAACAGCTCGTAGATGACAGACAACAGGCAGATCAGGCGATAGTTCCAATGTCGTGGATGTATCCCTTCTTGTACAGTAGTACAGTCCTGCTGGTCTTCTATTGGGACGGAACCTTGCATTCAGACAGGTAGCGTGTGAAGAGCATACTCAAATGAGAGAAAGAATCCGGAGTTTCGACCTCCCTTGAAGATCAAGAATCAGGAACGCTGTCTCGTTTGCCAAGGCATCAAAAATCAGATGGGCTGGTCACGTAATGAGATTTAGAGACGACCGCTGGACTAGAGCCGTTACCAACTGGATTCCACGAGATGTCAAAAGACGGTGTGGCTGCCCACCTACCAGATGGGCAGACTTCTCCATCAAGATCATGAACAATCAGTTTGAGGCTTTTTGTGTTCCTAGAACAAACAGACGCCGTTGGGCTACACTAGCACGCGACAGGGACAAATGGAGATGTTACTGGTGCCCGCTCGAGCAAATCGATGATTAACGGGAAGTCAAGTGATCAAGTGATTTTAAAAAGGGGGGGGCGGGGAGTGGGAGCTGGGTAAGTAGTATAGAGAGTAAATCACTTGCCTGACCCTGATTTAATCCCCAGCACGGCAAATGTTTCCCTAAGCTCTGCCAGAAATGATCCCTGAGTACAGAGCTAGGAGTAATCACTGAGCATAGCCAGATGTGGCTCAAAAACTAAATTAAAAACTTTTTAAAAGCAAGCAAATGGGGGCGAGGATGGACCATTAGTACAGTAGGTAAGGTGCTTGTCTTGCATGCTGGGTTTGATCCCCAGCATCCCATTTGGTCCCCCATGCACTACTGAGAGTTATCCCTGAACATTGCTGGGTGAGGTCTCCCCCTCTCAAAAAAAAAAAAAAAAGCAAGCAAAGAAAGGATTCTTGCTAATAAAAATAACAGGAAGGTGACGACTTTTTACCTCCTTCCTTTTCCTTGGCTGTTGTGATGCCTGGCAGCTACACATCGGTTCTGCTGCATGCATGTTCATAGTGGTGCTCCAGAAACTGGTCTTTGTTGTAACACTGAGGATCCCAGATTTCAGTGAAGCCAGGACCACACTAAGTATGTGGGGTAGAGTGGGAATCCAACTCTTGAACTCTGAGTCTCATTTTCGTAAAGCAGGCTGTCTGCTACTCAGATACCCCTGGTTCTAAGAAGATGACTTTAAGTCACCTGGTAGAGGGACTTCCAGCTGGCTGAGCAGGATGGAGGAGGGGTCACCTAGCCTATTTTGGGAATTAAAATATGAGCCAAAATATTGAGTGAAGGCTGGAGTGATGTAGCTAAATGGGCTGGAGTGCATAGAGCATGTACTTTGCATGTGAAAGGCCCAGGTTCAATCCACAGCACCTCCTTTCAGGAACTGGGATTAGAACCACTGGGTGTGACCTAAAAACAACCAAGCAACAACCAACCAACAGAAAATGTTAAATCGGTGCAGAACTTAAGAGATCAAACCCATTTTTAGTGTTTAATGGTTAAAGGAACTTTCATGTTTGCTCTCAATTTGGCTCTTCTTTTTTTGAAAGGTTCCAGGGATTGGACCCATAGCCCTGCACACATTAAGCACACTCGACCCCTGCATCTCATGAGGTAAAGAAGGTATTAATTCTATTTTGAAGTGGAGGAAACATGGGGTCAGAGTGATAGTACAGCAGGTAGGAAACTTTTCCTGCATGGGGCCAACCCAGGTTTGATCCTCAGCACCTCACATGGTCCCCCGAGCCTGCCAGGACTGATCCCTGAGCATAGAACCATGAGCACTGAGCCCTGAGCATTGCTGATACCAAAACAAAACTAAAAGGAGGAAACAGAAGTTCAGAATTTTATACATTATCAGTCCCCGAGCTCCTCCCAGAGTAAGTTTCTTTTTGGTAACTGTGTATGCAGAGGTGAGTGGTGGTGGTAGCAAATGAAGAGAAAGATCAAGAGGCATATTAAGTCCTTCCTCTGCTCAGGGAAGCTCTAGTCTTGAGCAAATAGAGAAAGAGTGGCAGGCTTTGAACTGGGAATCCGAGTGACAGGCTTTCTCAAAACAAAGGTGAGTCAGCCTGTCTCAGCCACCATCTGCAGGGGCTGCTACATTGGGCTGGACTGAAGATGGTCCTGAAAGATGCAGATGAGCTACCTGCCTGTGTGGGTTTCCTGGTCTGGCAAGGCCATACTTCCAGCCTTCTGAAGCAGGGCTTCTGGCCGGGTCTGTGTGAACTGGCACAGAGTGGGCGAGCTGGCAAACGAGCAGGGTGGCATTCTAGAAAGACAATACAGCATGAGCAAGGCCCGAGGGCGGATGGGGGCAAGAAAGGGAAGCAAGCAGGGATGGAGATGCAGCTGGAGACATGGCAGGGCCAGATCTTCTGTCCTGTGAAGGACACAGCCTGACTAATGATGGAAAGGGTGTGCTGCTCAGAGTGGGGAAGCAAGCACAAAAGGGATGGGTTTGACATGAGCTTTGGTGGGACTGTCAGGGCTGCATGACCAGAGCACTCTGGCTCCTCCTGAGTATCCAGTGTGCCAGGTGTCGGGTGAAAAGCTCGCTCTCTCCATTTTCAGAAATCCCAGCATTGCCATGAGGTGTGCAATGTCACTGTTGTGAACAGAGGAAGAGATGGAAGCTTAGAGTGATGGTTGGAGCTTGGAAGGAGCAGGGACAAGGTTCCTCTTCAAGTGTACTCCCATCCCTCCTAATAGATGGGGTGGGAGAGGGGTGGATGCCTGGGATCGCACTCCTCTTCCCAGCATAGAGGTAGTTAGACAGATCATACCACAAGAGAAGCGAGTTGAGGGACTGATGGATTCATTTTTGGACTCTGATTAGCTCAGTCAGAGGAGCAAATCAGGGCTTGCATAGTACAGTGGGTTAGGGTGCTTGCCTTGCATGCAGTTGACCCATTTTTGATACCCAGTGCCCCATATGGTCCCCCCAGTACTGCCAGGAATGATCCTTGAGCACAGAGCCAGGAGTAAGTCCTGACCATTGTAGAGTAAACAAAAGAAAGAAATAAGGAAAGAAAGAAAGAAAGAGAAAGAGAAAGAAAGAAAGAAAGATAGATAGATAGATAGATAGATAGATAGAAAGAGCAAATGTAGACAGCCATGACTTAGAAACCCAATAAAGCTCTCTACTCCTCCTTCTCTGGAATGACACAAAGGCTTTGGAGCACACCGGAGTTCTGGTTGTGACCCCCTCTCCAGGGTGGCCAGCTTTCAGAGAGAAGCCCACATCCACGACAGCATGCTGCAGGCAGGCCAGGCTGAGGAGACTGCCTGGCAGGCTCAAGGGAGCTGGTTCTTGGAGTCTGGTAAAGGCACAGGAGTGTGGCCCTTCTCCCAACATGACAAACTACAGCCAGAGTGGTCCAGGCTGGACTCTGGCTAATTCATCCCATTATAGCCAGGCTAGACTATGGACCCAGCGAGCCTGTGTGGGGCCCTGAAATTGGCCCACAGAGTTTTCCAGGCACACTCTGCTGCTGAGAAGGCTTGAGGTCTCACTGGGACTGAAGATGGGGCTGTAGGGATCCATAGGGAGGCCTCTGATGGCCGTCACTCGGGTGGGAGGCCCTTGTTGATGTGGCCTCTGGGACTTCTGCGAGTGGGATGAGCACAGAATCTCTCTGTTCTCTGAGGGTCAGAAAGCAGCAGCACTTTGTTCCTCAGAAACATGACAGCGCTTTCCTTCCCACCTTTCCAAGGTACCAGGGCCTACAGAGCAGAGACAACATCAAAGAAAGTCTGGGAACAGAGGGACTTTTGGTGAAGTTGGAACAAAATGTTCTGGCGACATCAGAAAGGAGGAGAGCCCTGTCTGCCTACCCACACGGCCGGCCCCCTCAGCCCAGGAACGCTGCTTGCTCCCAAACTAGCTTTTGTTCAGAATCCTTCTAAACTCTTCTGCCTTTGGGCTGTCCATGACCTCAGGTAAGAGTCCTGGTCTTTCCTTCAAAACGGGTCAGAGAATCCTAGTTCAGAAGGTTCCTCTAACCTCTTTGTATTTTTGCCAGAAGGTTGAACCAGTGCCAGGGGTAATTGGGAAAATTTCTGACCCAAAGACCACTTGCCTGTGTTACAGCTCATGCACTGCATTGAGCCATGACCCTAGGGGATGGCCAGGGCAAGATGGAGGAATGGTTGAAAATGTTTAACCAGCTAGAGGATGTGGGGTATGAGAACTGGGTGGATAATCTCTGAGCTATATACAGTTCAGTTCTTAAAGCAAGGGGTGAAAAGCCACTCTGGGCCCATCTCTGACTCCAACTTACCACCTGAACTCTCTCAGCAGGAGGAATGAAACCCATTGTGGCCTGGTTCCTATTCTTCCAGCTTGTTCTGGGGCCAACTCCTCTCATGAGCATCGGGATGAAGGAAGCCATAAAGAACTTCCGTAACTTAAATGTGGATTATCCCAGGGTTAAATTCCACAGGGATTTTCAAGACTACTGTAATGGTATAATGACCCATGTGAGGGGTACAAAGAAATCCCCAAGTTGCCCAAAGATCCATTACGTGATCCATGTCCCCTGGAACATGGTGCGGACCTTCTGCAACAAAAGTGACAGCTTCTGTGAGAATTACAGCCAATACTGTACACTCACCCCAGACACCGTGCCCCTCACGATATGCTCCCTGAGTAAGAAACAGCCACCCACCAGCTGCCGGTACAATTCTACCATAACCAACCAAAGGGTCTACCTGCTCTGCTCCAAAAAGGAAGATGCAGAACCAATGGGTATCATTGGCATCTTTTAGGGAAGGAAGACTTCCTTCCCTACCACCCTCACCACCACCACACACCAGTCTGTTCTTACCCCCCAAACTCTGACCCTTGATCAAAGTGTCCTCCCTGACTTCAGAGATGTGGGGGCGGGGGGGGGGGTGGAATGTTTAGAGCCCTGGCCATCAGGCAGTCATTCTGTTGCCTAAGCTTCTTCTAACTTAGTTTACCTCTTCTCTCCCCCTCTCCTTCCCCCCCTCCTGCAGACAGTCTTACCCACCCAAGTAGCTGACTGTGTCCAGTTGGCAGTTACTGTCAGTCCACACCAGCACTGGGCCAGATCCTGAATCCTGGAGGAAGGCCCAGAGCCTCTGCTCAGTCCATGGCAACAGGCACCCAGCTCTGTCTCAGCTCCCCACCAGCCAGTTTTCTCTGTCTCTTCGCCCCATTTCCCTTATAACTCCTTGTTTGCTCACCCAAACAGTGATTATCTCTAGTAAGTAATCACTGTAAGAGGAACCTCTGCATTACCTTACCGTCATCTTAGCTTCACTTCTCTGTAAACCACCTTCTCAGTCCCAAATTTACTCCTCCATATGAATTCATAGTTTTCCACTTCATTAAACCTACTGTTCTCCCTTTTCCTATCACAAAGTCCAGGGTAGCTTCTCCCCCACATCCCACACCCCTTTACTTACCCTGTCCTCCTGTCTGCTGCCTCATCCTTCCATATTTCCCACCTTGACCCTCTGGAATGTCAAGTTATTTTCTCTGACTTATGCCTGTGAAGGTTCCTACAATGTTTTCTTTTCTCAAGACTCTTACAAACATTCTTCAAACCCCAGGATCTACTACTGACAAGGGGATATGAGCTATAGTCACAAAAACCTAAAACCATATCTGAGATATGTAAAATATAATCATTGAAAGAAATTGAATGTTTTGGTTCTGGTTTGGGTGCCATACCTGTCAGTGTTCAGGACTTACTCCTGGCCGTGCCGGGGGCCTGACTAGGTTCTGCTGCCTGCAAGACAAATTCCCTACCCACCTTACTATCTCTCGGACCCCTGGATGAAACTGGGTGAAGGGTATACAAATTTTATTCTGTACTATGTTTGAACTTTCGTGTGAATCTAGAATTACTTTTAAATTAGAGGAAAAGCATATATCAATCGATTTGTCTTGTTCCTTTTTTCCCCCCTCCGTACATTAAAACCTCTTTCTAAGTCTTGAAGGCTACCACTCTTACCATCTTCCTCCCCCCAGCTGTTGGTAGATCCTTCATCTCATGCATACTGCCATGAGGTGTGGGCTGGGAAAAGCTTAAAGGAGTCTGGTTGTTAAAGTACATTCTTCTTCCCCCTAACTCTAAAACAAACTCATCATAGAAGTCAGGTTGCAGATCCTTGGACAATTTTTACTGCCTTTTATTTCTCTCCCATCAAAACCCTAGAGAGCCAGGGTAGGGCCTAGTCCTGTGTTTCTACCCCCAAGGCCCATGGACTGATGCAGGAGGGCAGTAGAGCTTCAGGTGCAATTGGATGAAACTTTCTGTTGGTTTAAAGTAGGTAGATTTCCTATGGGGTTGTGAGCTTTATTTTTTCTAAAATAGGAGTGGTAGGGTCAGAGAGATAGTACAATACATAAGACATTTGCCTTGTGTTAATTTTTTGGGGGGGGGTCACACCCAGCGATACACAGGGGTTACTCCTGGCTTGTACATTCAGGAATTACTCCTGGCAGTGCTCGAGAGACCATGTGGGATGCTGGGAATCGAACTCGGGTCGGCTACATGCAAGACAAATGCCCTACCCACTGTGCTATCACTCCAGCCCCAAGACATTTGCCTTGTACTGCTGACCGGTGTTCCAGTCCTGGCACCACATAGAGTCCCCTGAGCCCTGCCCAGGAGTGATCCCTGAGCACAAAGCCAGGAGTAAGCCCTGAGCACAGATAGGTGTGGCCTTAAAAGCAACTCCACCCAAAAGGGTCATGGGTCAAGTAAATTTGAGAACCTCTGGTCTAAGCTGATGCTATCTGGGTTGCTTCTGTCAAATCAGGAATCGTTGCTCCTCTCAGGGAGGTGAGGGATGTAGAGTGTGGATGCTAGTAATATGTCAATGCAAGTGACAAAGATGTTTGCATCAACATCTGCTTCATCACCTCCTCTACAAACTTTTTCCTCGGTCCTGTTCTTAGAGACTCTTGTTGGGAGGAAACTAAGTCTTGTCTATGAGGCTAAATAGAATAAACTGTGCAGAGCTGGAAACCAGAATCCTTGCGAGTTCTCTCTCTCTCTCTCTCCTCTCCATCTCATTTTCTCTCTCCCTTCATGAACCATGTGTCAGAGCTCATAATTAGTTGCTGCACACACCGCTGTTTATTGAGTCCCCCCAATCTGGTGTTAGAAATGCTGTGTAAGATGAGGCTACTTTCTACTTTGAAGTCTTCTGGTCATAGGTGCCAGCACCCTTATAGCCACTCACATAGCCCGAGTTGTCAGTCGTATCTGTCCGACCTGCCAGGCCTTTGCCTTTGCCACTCTCGTCAAAGCGCTCCTTGTGGGAGCCTGTATATTTGCTGGTGTCTGTCAGTCGCTCCACTCCGCCCACGGTGGTGGCTTTCTACAAGGCAGAGAATGAGAAGTCTGATCCCTCTTCTTGCTCTCCATTCCTAAAAATGGCTTTACACTCTGCGAGAGCTCAGAGGTCTACTTTTCTCGTGGTGCTGTTTTCTTAAGGTTCACTGACAGATGTGGGGAGGATCTGTGGCAAAAGTTACCACTTGTGAGGGAGAAGTCTGGTGTTTGGGAGTGAGGGAGGTGCTATGTGGAATTTTCTGCTTCCAGAGGAGTCATTCTGACTAAGCTACAGCCAGAGGATTTCAAAGCCAGACCCGAACTGCAGGGTCCCTCCTACTGGGAAGGTCCTATTTGAAAGCTAAGGTACAAAGAGCTATCCGTGAAGAGGAAAAAATAGGGACCACAGGGTTGATGAAAAGCAGAAAGTTAGAGATCAGACCTTATATAAGAGCAGGGGGAAGGTTCAATGTCCTCTACACACCACCCAACCCTGGTTGATGGGCTCAGACACTGGAGACTAGGGAATAAGCCCATTTCTACCATTAAACTAGCTGTAGAATTTGGCACCTCATTGCTATCTTTGGGCCACTTTTCCCACTTCTAGATGATCCCCAAACCAACGGGGAATGGAAGATTTCCTGCCCCATCACTCTATAGTATCCATGTTGGCAGGAATCAGGTGTATCAGAAAGTAGGTGAGGGAACTAGGAGCATCAGGGATTTAGAAAAGCTGGGACACAGTTAGGGGTGAAGAATGCCACTCACAGTAACACCACTGGTAACTGGATCCTTGCCCTCCAGAAGCTTGTAAACCTGCTCTAGGCCGTCATCTGGGCTCTTCGCCTTGAAACGCTTCTGGCCCAGTTCCTTCATTGCCTCTTGGAACTGCTGAAATGTGATGGTTCGGGCATTCTTGGCCCTGGTCAGTGAGACACATTCAGGAACTTGAGTGGGAACTCATCACCTTCCAAGGTTCAAGCGTCCCCTTACTCAGACTTGGCCTCTTGACCAAGAGAACAGGCAAGCACGCAGTGCTGGGTACCCAGGAGATCCATTACAAATGTTCTGCCACATAAACCCTCCTCTGTCCCTTGTCCTGGTTTGTTCTACCCACCACTCCATTTCCATCTTTGGTCTCTTACTTGACTTTGCTGAACACAATGTCCACATCAGTGGAGGTGACTGCCTTGCCATCCATGATGTCACAGTCTTTACACAGCTTGGCAAAGTTCTTGTTGTTCATTTCATTGCCTTTGTTTGATGTATCTCCAAACACAGCAAACTTTTGGAATGTTTTCTCTGCCTCCGATGCCATGCTCAACTGAAGGAGAGGGGAGGGTGGTGGTTGGGGAGACTTGGGGAGAAGGTAAGAGGGGGAGGGAAGACTAAAAATAAGGATGGGGTCAAGAAAAAGCCAGAATCACAACAGGAATAAATAAATCCCTTCGTTCCTATTTTCTCCCTCCCCCCCTTGCCATACCATTCCATCCACCATATCCTCTCTACATTCCCAGCATTGGAGATACTAGAGTGGTTCCTACATCCCGATAATCACCACTATCAGCCACTCTCCCAGCACTTTTGAGTTCCTCCAAGTGCCCAGATGATATCTCACCCTTCCTAGCCTCTATATGTAGGTGTGTGCAGCTATGTGGAAGTCAGCTGGTTAGGAGACTCTAAGGCAAAAGAGACGCAGAGAAAGACAGGAAGCTTTTATGACCTTAGCAGTGACATCATCTAGCATTCCTGGTCAAATTGCCTTTGTTCTGCTTCATACCAAAAGCTGAGGAGAGCACAAAGAGGAGGGTTGACGGTTGACCACTGTTCTTTTTTCCTATCTGCCATCCCAGACAGTGATCAACATGGAGAATCCCACTGCCTTTGACAGATCATCTTCAATAGAAACTTTATTTTTAAAATTGGGGCTGGGGGGCCAGAGCAATAGCACAGTGGGCAGGTCGCTTGCCTTGCACGCGGCCAACCCGGATTCGATTCCCAGCCTCCTATATGGTGCCCTGAGCACTGCCAGGGGTGATTCCTGAGCGCAGAGCCAGGAGTAACCCCTGTGCATTGCCGGGTGTGACCCAAAAAGCAAAATAAATAAATAAATAATAAAATTGTGGCTGGTAGGGGCTGTTGGGGCACTAACTCAAAGGGCTGGAGCACGTTCTGCTGTGGAGTCTGAAATTTAATCCCAAACAACACATGGTCTCATAAGTACTACTGAACCTTGCTGGGTGTGCCCTATCCTGCTCCAAATAGTATATATCTTCGAATATCGGGGGATAATATGTGATGTTGCTGTAGGTATGTGGGGAGCTGCAGAGTGGGGTGTAGTCCCCAGACTGTGATACCATTACCTACCCTTCTGCTGGATCCACCACAATCTCCTGGGTGAGGGCAGAGAAGGTGAAGACACACAAAGAGTGAACGTACAAGTCCTGCCCTCTACTCAGGCCTCCCATATTCTCACCAAAGAATTTCTGAAGACAAAAAGTGAAGCAAAGGAATTTTATTTATGGAATGAGAGAGGGAATGAGAGAGAGAGAGAGAGAGACAGAGAGACAGAGAGACAGAGAGACAGAGAGAGAACATGCTCCAGAGAGAACACGGGCTTTTCGAGAGAAAAAGGAGAGGAGCACCCCTAAAATAAATTACACACCTCAAGTTCGGATGCAGGTGACTCCCAGGGATGACAAGCACCTATAAAGTAAAAGGAAATAGTTGCATACCCAGAGTAGATTGGTGTGTGAGTGTATGTATGTGTTGGGGGAGGGGAGTGCAGAAAGACAAGATGAAGAATGTGTACCCCCACCGTCTTCATCAAAGCTGATTTTACAGGGTGTTCCAAGCAGCCCTGCATTGAGGTCCAGCAAGATGGCAGCTGAAAAGGAGGGCTGCGAAATGTCCCTTGATGGATTTGAACTGGTTTTGACTTCCTGAAGTTCAACTGAAATTCATGTTTCCTCTTGCAGTGCCAAGTACCTGGTCCATAGTAACTACTACTCAATTCTTCAAATATCATGCCTGTATTTCTGACCTCCCTTTTCCCTCCTGCTCTCTCTTGCTTTCTGCCTGGATAGGCCTCTCTTTTCCTCTCAAGTACTTCTTGAAGACCAAGGAGTGGGTGAGACAAGAAACACAACCTGTTCCCTGCTCTGAATTACACTAAGATCACGATCACGGGGGTCTAGGCAGTCAGCTGCAGAGAATTTCTGAATTACTGCAAAGTCCGAACCTCACCCCCACCCCCCGTCCCCGCGACTCTATTTACACACAGAACTTAGTCCATAAAGTGGATTGCACGTGTAGTTGGATTGCACGTGTAGGTGCTATTGTATAGCAATGTCCCAAACAATTGCTAGAATACTGTGTGAACTTGACATATTGCGAGTTTGTGTGTTGTCTGTTCGTGGAGACAAACTGCATGGCTAGAAAGCTCTGATTTCCTACTAGAGAGGACGGGAGACAATTGGAACAGGACTTGTCCTCGAAACACAATCATGTACACATCATTTCCCCTGCCCTTCCCCATCATTTTCCCTACTTTCATGCCTTCCAGCAACCGCAGGATCATGAACTTCTAGATAGGCTATGACTGACTGGATTTGACACCCCTTTGAATTCCATCTGTGGAGTGGCTGGTACATAGCAGCTACTTAAAACTCTTAAAGGTAGTGTGAAACTGCTTGTCCTCCCAGAGAAGGAAGCTGAAGGGAGAGGTGAGTTCTGCTGGGCCACTGAGTCTGCTGAGCTGCCCAGAGGAACCTTATCTGAGGGGAGCAGGTTGTCATTTCTGTTTACCACGGAGGGAGACCCCGAAGTTGAAGAAGCAAGCAGATCCTAGTGCAAATTTCCCACCTCCTGTCTGTCCTTCCCATCCTCCCCCCCCCTCCCCGCCCCCCAGGCCCCTTATCAGGTTCCCCCTGAGTCATTCTGACCCAGAGACAAATTTAGCTGCTGGAACCTCCAGGTTCTTCCCTCCCCCACTCCAAGGAAGACAGTCTGGGGAAGGGTTGAAGGCAGCGCTTCTCAGGAACCTTTCTTTTCCGATCCAGCTTCTTCAGTAGGATCTAGATCCCAGCAGGCTTCCCCTGGTCCAGGACAGTGTTAACCCGGCTGCTAAGGGTAGTGGGGAATAGGCGGGGAGCCAGGACGCCCAGCTTCTGTGCCAGTTTCTACGGGCACGGCAGTGGGGAACAGAGGAAAATGTGGATATTCCAAATTGGGGTACTTAGGGGGAAGGTCCTTTAAACTGGGTTGTTGAGAACTGGCTTGATCCTCATGGGTGCTCCCACCCAGGACCCCCTCCTTTCTGGGCCCCTCCTTCTTTCCAACAGACCCTGCCAAGCAGGGATGAAAGGGGCATTGATGTTCCTAGGTCGGGAGGGGAGCTGTGTGTGTGTGGGGGGGGGGGGGCGGGGGTGTGAGGGTGGTGGTTCCTAGGCAGAAGGAGGCGGGAAATTTGAGGGTCCTAGGGGAGGGGCCATTCTGCACGGGGGTTGCAGTTGGCAGCTCCTATTCCATTGGCCATTGTTCTCCAACTGGCCTGTAGCCCAGCCCCCGACTCAACTCCCCCCAAGTGGCTGCTCCGGAATCGGGATGAAGGAGGCCAGGGTGGGGAGCAGCGGGGGAGAGGAGCTTGAAGGGGTATAGGTAGCAAGAGACGGTCTGGTTTCCTTTTGCCAAAGAAAGTTCCCAACCCACTTAGCCACATCACCATTCCGTTCCGGGCGGTGGCCTTTCTCTTAACGGGGACGAGGACGGTGCTTTTAAGTGAAGGGGGCGGGGGGCGCTAGGCGGGCCCTAAACGCGACGCGGGGACTCAGAGGTCCCAGCCTCCTCCTCCCCCCGCTCGGGCGGACCCGCAGCGGTTAGCGGCGTCGCCCAGGGTCTCTGGGTCTCAGCCCGGGACACCACGTCCTCCCTGAGCCCCCACTCCGCGCCGCGCACACTCAGCTCCACCCCCGGGCCTGTTTACCCTGAACTCGGAGCCCCTGGGGGTCCCTGCCCCACCCCCTCCTCCGGGGCCTTGACCCAGGAGTCCCCGTCGGCCCTGGTCCCCCCCTTTGTCTGTACTCTTTCTCTATTTATAGCGCTCCCCCCTCCCCGTGCGCCCCTCCAGGGCTTGTTTTCCAACTTGTCTGGAGCAGCCAGAGAACGCGCCTCGGGACGCAGCGGAGCGCGGAGGTACCGAGACCCGCCGAACCCCCTCCCCCCACCCCCGAGACGGACTCCCCGGCCCGGCCCGCTCCTAGGTTCTGGCACAGGACCATCTCTTCATCCCCCTCCCGGCGGGCGAGACCCCCGCCCCTCGCCCCTGCCCCTAACCCAGTCCCCGACTCCGGAGTGGACACCGCGTTGGTGGTGGTGCTGGGGGGAGGGTCGGGACTCCGGATTCATCGCCCCGGTTCTGGTCCCCAAGACTGAGTCTGGGAGGGGGCGTCGGGCAGATCGAGGTCACGGGTCGGGGCGCCGTGCAGGGAGCCCCCACCCTCTCACCACCATCCCCGCAGGTCAGCGGGGTCCCCGCACACCCCACGAACGACGTCTGGGGTGCGGGGCGATGTGGGACCGGGAGAGACGCCAGCGGGCGACCGGCACTTGGCGGGGGTCCCTCCCCAGCGCCCCTGGCCCGGGCGCTGCAGCTCACAGCCGCCCGCTGCTCGGGGCGGGGTCGGGGGGCGTGTTTCCCGGGGGTCCGGGGCGGGTCTGCGGGGCGCCGGCGGCCCGTGGGCAGCTGGGGGCGGGCCGGGGGCGGGTCTGCGGGGAGCCCAGGCCCGGGAGGGCCGAGCGTCAAAGGCAAGTGAAGGTGGCAGCGGCGGCGGCGGCAGCAGGTAGGGGGAGGGGCGGCCGGCTGGAGCGCGCGGGGGGACCCCCCGTCCCTTGGGAGCCGATCCTTTGAGGACAGGGGCCGGCCAACAGGGACACCCGGCTGCCGCGCACCAGGGCGGAGGCTGAGCTAGGTGCAGGGCTTGTTCGGGGTGCTCGCGAGGTGGTTGTGGGGGTCCAGGCTCGGTCCCCGTGCGGGGCCCTCCCGCAGGGTCAGTTCTCGGGGGCCCGGCCTGACCAGACTCCCTCCCGACCTCAACTCTTTCCAGCCGGCCTCAGTCTTGGGGGAGGCTGAGAGGAGATTGTGGGTCTGCCCTCCTTCTCTCCCCTACCTCTTCCCGTTCGCGGGGCGGGGGGCGGTGGGAGAGAAGCCAACGCCTGAGGCTTAATTTATTTCCCCTTCGAACGGTTGAGGGAGACATTCAGTGCCCTGCTACCCTCCTCTTGAGAGCTGTCCAAAACCTTCGGGATTCCTAGCCCCACTGGCAGTTTGCAGCTAGGTGAGTAAGGCCAAGAGTTTGTAACTGATTGGAGCAAGGTCACTGTGGTGGCAGCCGAGGGGGACACGAAAATCCAGAGTTTTCCCACACGAGCCGCCTCTTTCCTCCACATCAGCAGTTTCTTCTCTCTTCCCCAGGCCAGGCCCGGCCCCATACCCACCCACAGGCGGCAGCGCGCACATCCAGCCCATATTGATTGTAGCTGAAGTTCTGAGAAAAAACTATTCACTGGACTCAGGGATCCAGGTTGCCAAGGGTTAGTGACCTGGGGAGGGGTGCTGACCCAGGGAATCTAGGTCTGGGTCCCGTTGTTTGGATCCTAAGAGACCCAGAATCTGTCTTCCGTGTCATTCACCTCTTTCTCTTGTTTTCTCAGACTCCAGAGGCAGGAGAAGTGAGAACCCTGACCCCTAACCTGCTGCATTGAGCCAATAGGAGCCCAGTAGGTAAGCCACCCCCTGTTGAGGCTCTTGACTGTGCAGGTGGCCGGTACCTCCCACTGTCATAAGTTCTGTGTCCCCTTTACCAGGACTAGGAGGGAGTCTTAAGGAAGGGAGGACTTGGGTCATTTGGGCATTAATGGCCCTTGTTCCTCTTTTCTCATCTCCTCCTTTACCCGTCTTCGACATGAAGTTGGGTAGTTTTTAGCCCCTTTTCCTTTGAGCGACTGACCTTGGGGTTGTCGTTGAAGGTCACAGCCCACTGTGGCTTCCCTTTTAGTATCTTTGGAGTACCCACTTTCTGAGTTATGAGTCTCGCGCCTGATTGAGAGTGTGGGGTGGCCCCTAAATATAGCCCAGGAAATCTGAGCTGCAGCCCCACCCTGGCATTTTCATCAGGGCAGGGGAGCCAGTTGGAGGTGTTGAGGGGCAGCAGTGGGGATGGGCAGTCTGAACACTGTCCTTCCTTCATGGGGCGGGTCCTGGCTGTGTGCTGCTGTGGTCTTTAGCTCCCTCCCAGGCTCTTTGCTCTCTGGCACCAGCTTGGAGCAACAGCCAGGCAGGAGAAGAGATGTGTGGGTGTGGAGGCACCCTCCCAGGTCCCAATATTTCCTCCAGGCCACCATGGCGGAGCTACAGGAGGTGCAGATCACCGAGGAGAAGCCGCTGTTGCCAGGGCAGACAGTCGAGGTGGCCAAGGTTGTTAGAGACCCTCTCTTTACTGTAATCCTGCCTTCCCAAGTCCACCAACTCCTCTTAACCCACAGCCCAATTCTCTCCACCTCTGCAAGCATCTCTCCCCCTCACTGCCCTCCACAGCCCACACCCTTGTCTTGTCCCTGCACTAACCTTCATCCTCTCCATGTCTCTTGTCCTCTCTTTCTGTCTTTGTTTTGTTGGTCTCTCCTTACCTCTCTCTTTGAGTGTGTCCATCTGTCCATCCATGTCTATCTGTGACTCCCTGTGATTGTGTATCTTTGTGTGTGTTTGTGTCTCTCTCTCTCTCTCTCGTGTGTGTGTATGTGTGTGTGTCTCCAGGAGGCTGAGTTAGCTGCCCGAATCCTCTTGGACCAGGGACAGGTAATAGGGCGGGGTGGTCCCGGGCTGAAGGACAGCCTCCCCTCCCTTCCTCCTAAGGAGAGGGTTCTTGGAGCTTCTCTTCAGCCTTGCTCCCCTGCCTTCTCTTCCAGTCCTTTCCCTCCTCACTGCCCTCCTCTTCCTTTTCCTCCCTTCTCAATACCTCCGTGTACTCCAGTCTGTCACTATTCTTTTCTACTAATAATCAAAATATTAGTCAAAATAAAAAATATAGTAAAAGTCAAAATAATCTTTTACTATGGCATTTTTGTGTCAACTTAAAAGGTCCTATTTCTAATTCTTCGTTCCCTTCTCCTTTTTTTTTATTCTCTGCCTCACAATGCTCAACCTTTTTTGGGAGGGTTGCACGGGGATGATGGGGATCTTATCCGGTATGTTCAGGGCCACTCTGAGCTGAGCAGTGCTCAGAAAGCCCATGTGGTGCTGGGGATTGAGCCTAGGGCCCCCTCATGCAAAGCATGCGCTACAGCCCTTTGAGCCTTTGTCCTCCCTCCCCCAACCCTTAGTGGCACCTCCTTCTCTTGCACACTTACCTGATGTAGACTCCTCCACTTTTTTTTTTCTGTAGACACATTCTGTGGAGACACCTTATGGCTCTGTCACATTTACTGTTTTTGGAACCCCCAAACCGAAACGCCCAGCAATAGTCACCTACCATGATGTAGGACTCAACTGTAAGAACCTTCACTTCCTCTCACATCCCTTTTCTCTCACATCCCTTTCTGGGAAGAGGCTGGGGTGAAGGGTCAGGCCCCCTAGGGCCTGGATGGGGACAGTCTGGGCTGGAAAGGGCTGTGTGTAATGCCAAGAAGTTTCTCCTCCTCTGACTGTGAAAGAGAGAGGGTTGGATTCTGACTTGGGGATGTGCTTCCCTGACTGATTCCACTTTTGGGGTGATGGGGATTCTCTTTAGATAAATCTTGCTTCCAGCCGCTGTTTCGATTTGGGGATATGCAGGAAATCATTCAGAACTTCGTGCGGGTTCATGTGGATGCTCCTGGAATGGAAGATGGGGCTCCTGTGTTCCCTTTGGGGTGAGAATTAGCTCCTTCCCTCCTCACTGGAGTGTGAGGCATGGGACAGGTGTGGCATGGTGCCAGGGGAGATTGGGAGAGGATGAGTACAACAGCCTGGTGTGGGGGCAGGGTGGCTGGGTTGGGATTTTCCTGAGCTTTCCTCTCTCTCTCAGGTACCAGTACCCATCTCTGGACCAGCTTGCTGACATGATCCCTTGCATCCTTCAATACTTAAAGTGAGAGTCCTGGGGCCCCTTCAAACCAGGGGTTCTCTTTTTCTGCACGTGGTGCCTCACAGACCTCTTGTATCTGCCTTGGTTCCTGGGCAGGGTCTCTTTCCCAGTCAGAACTTTTCTGTCCCCTCCTCTGGTTGTTGAGAGGAAGGGGCTGGGTGTAGGAAAATGACAGTACGGTACTATTTAGCCCTGATGGATGGAGGCAAAGGTCAGGAGGGGTCTGTGCCTGGCTCCAAATGAGGCTGAGGAAGAGCTGCTCTGATCTGGGAAGTTAGAGAGGAAGAGGAGGGGGTGACTTAATCCCTGAGAAACCAGATAGACCTGTCCTTACCTCCCACTCTCCTCTCTCAGCACACCTAGAGGAGCCCTGGGTAAGGAAGAGTGTGAGGGGGCGGAGGAGGAAGCCTGGTGAGGCCTCTTTGGTATGCACAGGATATGCTGGCCACTTTGGGACTCTGCTTTTGGCTTGGTTATTCCTGGGCACCAGGGCACTGGGAAGCTCTGGTTCACCTCTTTGGCTTTATTCTCCTCTTCCCCTCCCCTTCCACCTCCCCAATTCTTGTGAGTCACTGAAGTTGTCTTTTTTTTTTAATTGAAATATTTTGTTCAAGTTCCTTCTTCCCAGTTCCTCTAGAGGAACCAGGAATCAAAACAAGTTGAACTAGCTCCTGAAAGAGAATGGAGAAGGTCCTGTAGAGGAAAACCACATCTAGTTGGTTGCTGGATGGGTATTTTTTTGGAAGATGCTGGTTCTCCTTAAGCGAGCTGGCTGGGAGCAGATAGACTACAGGGACCTTCAAGCCTGCTCCAGTGAATTTTAGCTCCCTGGCACCTTCCCTTTCACCACTCCCCATCCCCAAAGGAAGCACCCTTTCTGTCTTTCCTTGTATCCATGGCCTTGGGAAGGAGGCTCCCGAAATTAGGAAGTTTTGGACTCTAGGATCCACTAAATGCACATTTTCCTTTCAGTTTCTCCACAATCATTGGAGTTGGTGTTGGAGCTGGTGCTTACATCCTGTCACGATACGCTGTAAGAAATGAAAAATCTCATAAGAACGAAAGGTGGCTGGAGGCCCTTGGCATACTGATTAGGAGAGAATTATGTCCTGGAGTTTTTCTGGGGAAGGGGAGAGAGGTGGGATCAAGCCTCTGAAAACTCTAAGGCTTGGGTATGCTGTATCAGGAGATACAGTCATGACCTGCCTCTGATTTTCCTCATCTCTCTGGTTCCTCAGCTTAACCACCCAGATACTGTTGAGGGCCTCGTCCTCATCAACATTGACCCCAATGCCAAGGGTTGGATGGATTGGGCAGCCCACAAGGTTTGGAGGGGCCTGTGTGCTGAGTTCTAGGGTGGGGGGTGTCCCTTGTTTGTATCCAATTAGGCTCTCCTGGCATAAATGATTGGTCACTGAGCTTCAAAGAGGGAGGGAGGAGCAGGAAAGAACTATGTCCCTTTGCTTTGGACTCACCTCCCCATTATGTCACGAGCTTTCTCACCTGCTCTGTCTTCATAGCTAACAGGTCTCACCTCCTCCATCCCGGAGATGATCCTTGGACATCTTTTCAGTCAGGTAAATGGATGTAGAGTAGAATGGCAGTGGATTCTTGAGTGTCTCTTAGATGCCACAGGATTTGGGGAGGGATGAAGGGTTGCTTCTTTTCTACTAACTGTAGACTTCTTGTTCCAACCTAATTTCTCTCCCTCTTCTTTCCTTCAGGAAGAGCTGTCTGGAAACTCTGAATTGATACAAAAATATAGAAATACCATCACACAGGCTCCCAACCTGGAGAACATTGAACTGTATTGGAACAGCTATAACAAGTGAGTGAACTTTGTGTGCACGCATGTTTATGTGTGTGTGTGTATGCGCGCGCGTGTGTGTGTATGCTCATGCTTCTAAGACCTGTAGAAGCAAGGACTATAGGGGGTCATGGGAAATATGGAAAAAGAAGGAGAAATCTGGGAAATTCACTGTTTAAGGAGGGCAGGGCCGGGTTGTAAAAGTAGCAGCTTCAGAAGAGACCCAATGGGGTCAGTTGTGAGGAACTGTTTCTTTTTCTCCTATTGGGGATTCCTTGATGTATAATGACGTCCTATCCTTATGCATTAGCTTTTCCTTCATTGCCCTTTGTCAGGGTCCCTGGGGCACAAGTGACCATAGAGATTGTGCTTCCTGTCTGCCTGCCACCTTTCTTCCTACTTTAAATCACCAGTATTTGACAATGATTCTGGGGAGGAAGATCGCTTCATCATGGGGGAGATAGCTTATATCTGGATGGATAGCATTGCCTTGCCTAAAATTCCTACCCTTCTTTCAACCCCTCTTTAGCCGCCGAGACCTGAATTTAGAGCGCGGAGGTGATACCACTTTCAAGTAAGACTTTTCAGGGACAATGCATTGTGCCTCTTCCTGCTGTCTGCATCCCTTAGAAGGAGAATCTTTTGCTAGGGAATTTTTTTGCCACCTCCCACCCCACCATGGTTAGCAAATCCCCCACCTTTTCCCTTTGAATCTTCTTGGTGTTCAGTGGGGCCTGGAAGGTTGTTTCTTCTCTGAGCCAGTCATTCCCAAGTGCTCTTCTGGGAAGAGGCGATGAGGGAGTGCCAGGGGCTTACCGCCTCCTCCTTGACACTGCCTCTAGGTGCCCTGTGATGCTGGTGGTAGGAGACCAAGCACCCCACGAAGATGCAGTGGTCAGTAGGAAATTTTCCTGAGGGTGAGGGTGGGTTGGACTCCTAGGGAGGTGGTTAGAGGGCTCTTGTTCCAAGAAGCAAGCTCTGGTTTGGACAGGAAGAGTGATTACAGGAGTAAGAGTTTGATTATTGGTAAGAAAGAAAGGGTAGGGGGCGAGAAGAAAAGGAATTGGGGTTTGGGTTCTGGGGTTCCTTGAATGGGAGGGGCCACAGAAAGTGTGACCTCATTCATTCAGCCTCCTCCTTACTTCAGGTGGAATGTAACTCAAAACTGGACCCTACGCAGACTTCTTTCCTTAAGGTCAGTGACCCCAATCCTTGACCAGCCTGACACCCGGCCTCTGTCCGGAGCTTTCTTCCCTCTTTGGATTCAACTACCAGGCCTCTGGGGCTCTGCATGGGATTGGGGAAGTGAATGATGTTAAAACAAACAAGCAAATTAAAAGAACCAAACCAAATCTAAGAGCCTGCTAGGGTGATGAAGCTGAGGAGAAGTGGCACTCTTCTACTTTCCTGGAGGGCTCATTTTATTTATGTATGTGTCACTTTTTCTGAGTGGCTCTTCCTTGAACAGATGGCCGACTCTGGAGGTCAACCCCAGCTGACTCAGGTGAGGATGGCTTTTATCTGGGGTTAGTAGCATCATGCCCTTTGCCGCGCACCTCACCCCTACAGCTGTTCAGCTTCTTACCTCTCTCATCTCTGTCCCTCATCTATATCCACAGCCAGGCAAGCTGACTGAAGCCTTCAAGTATTTCCTGCAGGGCATGGGCTACAGTGAGTATGGGGTGGAGGCTTTCTTGAGAACACAGGGGTCACAGCCCAGGAGGAGGGATAGGGCTTCTAGGGGGTAGGAATCATTTTTGACTGATTCCTGGACTACCACCAGCCACCAAATCAAGCTCATAGGGACCTCTGGCCCCATGTATAGCTCCCTCTCCGCCCTAAGCACTACCCCTCCCCGCAAACTTGCCAGCCTCTCTGCCCCTTCCCTTCTGACTGTTCGCTTCACCACCTGTCTCCACAGTGGCATCATCCTGCATGACTCGCCTGTCCAGATCACGCACAGCCTCTCTGACCAGTGCGGCATCATTTGATGGCAACCGGTCCCGCTCTCGCACTCTGTCCCAGAGTAGCGAGTCTGGGACGATGCCTTCAGGGCCCCCAGGGCACACCATGGAGGTCTCCTGTTGAAAGGCCCTTGTTGCCCTAGTGTGGGACCTGGCCCTCGCCTCCCCCAGCGCTAACCTGGGAGGTGCATAGGGCATCGGGCCAGAGTGAGCAAGGGAAGACAGGCAGATCATGTGGGAGATGATCTTGATCTTTGATTGCTACCCTAACCTTGACCTTTAACCTGTGATTCCCCTCAGCTCCTGGGAGAGATGGCCTAACATCTCTTAGGGACCCAGACCCCTACATTTCCCTAGCCCTCATTTTGGTGTTAAGGTGGAGAGGGCATATAGACCTTCTCCCTGATCTCGGTGTCCATAGAGGAGGAGAGAGAGTTGTCTATGGCATCTCTACCAGATTCTTCCCTCTTTATTTCAGATTCCAGAGGTAGGGAGATTTGGGGTGGGAGCTGCATTCACCCAATCTGAGATGGTATCTCCTACACCCATCAGAGCTTTTGGAAAGGTGTGGGTCAAATGAATGTGTGTGAGGGGAGACTTGCTGGTAGGTCAGTGGTCCTCATGATGGGACGGAATCCTCCCGTGTGTGAAATGAAGTCAGAATGGGAGGAGATGGGCTATGAACACACAAAAAGAAAGGATTGGAACTGGGACAGTAGGAAGGGGCCTGGGGCCAATGGCTGCACTAACCTTGGTAGCTGTCTAGACAGTGTGTGTCCAGAGTGGGGGGGGGGGGAGGGAGCCAAGTTGGGGCAGGGCTGCTTGGGGCTTGGCATGGGGGTGAGAAGGGCTACCTTGGGGGCTCTGACCACAGTGTGCTGTGTGTGGAGGGTGCCCTCCTGTCTCCCACACTTCTGCCTTAACAATAAACTTAGAGGAATATCAACACTATTCTTCTTTGTTTTTGGTCTAAAGATGCCTGCATCGCACTCCTTTCTTCAGACCCTTTCCCTGCCCAACGTTGTCTTATCAAAGTGATGGAAACAGTGGGAGGGGGCCCATACCATGTAGACACTTGGCAGAATGTGACTCCCTAGTCACCGGCCCCTATTCCAATAGAACACAACTGTTCTTTTTTTAAATTTAATTTTATTTTTATAAAGTTGTTCACAATAGCTCATTCAAACACCAATCCATCACCATGCACCTTCCCACCACCATAAGAGGATAGTGTGTGAAGATTGATGTATTTCATCCTGGAGCTATTTAAGCCCTTGTATAAGAGATTACAAACATATATGTTTTTTTGGGGGGGATCACACCTGGCGATGCACAGGGGTTACTCCTGGCTCTGCACTCAGGAATTACCCCTGGCAGTGCTCAGGGGACCATATGGGATGCTGGAAATTGAACCTGGGTTGGCCATGTGCAAGGCAAATGCCCTACCTGCTGTGCTATTGCTCCAGCCTTCCCCCCCCAAACATATATGTTAAACCCCCAAAAATGTGTGCTACTTTTGGTACATCAGTGGACTAGAGTGTAAGAGGTCACACAGCCACAAGTGCGGCTGAGCACTCAGGATATTCTGTATTGTTCTCTTCCAGGACCTTTATTTCATGGTCTCTGGATCTTGGCTGTTGATGAGATTATATGGCACTGGAGGCATTTTGTTGGTGTGACTGCCAAGCTACTGGAAAACTGGAGAGCTGGGGACGGGGAGGGGGAAGAGGCCCATTCCTGTTCTAAGCGAGCTTGGAGATCTCAGTCACGGGTCATGCATACCTGGGTTTTTCTGCAGGTTCCCCTGTAGGTGAGGCTCTTTGGAGCCTGTGGAGAGTGGCCTTGAGCATGACTGTGCTGTTGGAGGTTCTCTGCTGCCAGGGGCAGGGAGGGAAACTCAACCCGCTCCCCCCGCTGCCTCAAGTTGCACTGGTGAAGACAGCTTGGTGTGGGGTCAGGACGTTCTGGAACACAACTGTTCTTCATCATGGTACTCTTTTAAAGTTTGGGAGAGGGGACCTACTTAACCGTGCGAAAATTCTGTGATCAGTTATGGGTGATGGGTGAGAAATATCACAGAATTTCAGAGAGGTCACCAGCAGGATGATCTTAGACAAGGTTGTGCGGAAAGTTGAGTGGAGTGTCCAAGGACACCTTCCAAACCCTTCCTTATAAGATCTCCCCAATGGTTACCTAGATTCCACTACATTTTATGTTTTTTGTTTGTTTGTTTTTGGCCACACCTAGCGATACTCAGGGCTTATTCTTGACTCTGTGCTCAGGGATCATTCCTGGTGAGACTCAGAACATTATGGGGTGCTGAGGCTTGAATCTAGGTCAACTAAATGCAAGGCAAGTGCCTTACTCATTGTACTATCTCTCTGGCCCCAAGATTCATTTTAGATGGTTCAGTATAATCAGTAGTCTAACTTGGGTTTCTCATAGTTGAACCCAATCTAAAGATTCCTTCATAAGGGTCACAAAAGGGCCAGGGAGATACTACAGAGGACTGGAGTGCATGTCTGGGCTCACGGGATGCCAAAAAGTAAAATATGAGAAAGCTGGAAATGGAAGACAGCACAAGAATTAAGAAGCTTACCTTAATTAAGAAGCATATGGTGTGTTTGATCCCTGGAACTGCATGTGGGCCTCTGAGCACTGCCAGTAGTAAATCCTGAGCATAGAGCCAGGAGTACGCCCTGTACACTGCCAGGTGTGGTTAAACGCTCTAACCCCTAACTCCCCAATCTCCAGCCCACCCCCAAAAGAAAAAGCACTGTGTAACATTAAAGACACTGGGATTCTGTGGATGAATATTATGTGACCAGATGATGTAAACACTGCCCTCCATGACTATGAACTGAGTACGGAGGTAGCCTGATGCCTAGTGTGGACTCACTGACATGGAAGTGAGAATGTTCTGGACTCTTGAACATTTTCACGCTCTCTGATAGAATGGAGTCTATCTTAAATGCAGAGGAGCTGTATCAGAGCAGTATCAGAAGGGGGTAGGTTATTTACAGGGTAACTGACAGTGATCAACGGGAAAGATGTTGGGTGACCAGATCCAAGGTTGGGAACAGTAAGTACTTCAATACTACAGTACAAAGAAGAAAAGACAAATTTGAAAAAAAATTTTCAGTTTGCCCCTGTGTAGCAATATGCAGGAAAAAGCAAAGAACTGGCTGCAGCAGATGCAGGCAGTATGAATCATGGAGGGGTGAGGGGGTGGAGGGTGGGGTGAAGGCAGAGCTTCCCAGAAGGTTCCCACACAGCTAACCCTGTTACTAGGTCAGTAGAGGGAGAGAACTGCTCTGTGTGTCCACGTGTGACCTTATATGTATACGTGTGTCAGAGGATGGGGTGTGTGGTGGGAGGTGACGGTATCTGTCCTATGATATCTCTGTACAAGAAACCCAAGAAGAGTTTGGTAGAGCAGACAGTTTCCCTGCTGTGAGAGGTGGCTGCAGTCCTGACTGACTGGTCCTGATACTCCTGTCCAGCTCATGGGGTCACAGTGCCCCCCTGTGGTTACATGGCTCTCCAACTGCCCAGTGTCCAGGTCCCCTCCTGACTGCCCCTTGCGCTCTCAGAAGCTGCCTCACCAACATACTGGAGCCTGAAGCCAAGATCTGGGGCTCCTGCCCAGGCCAAGGCTCAGAGGGGCGGTGGGTGACATCTTAGAGCCTGCAGCCACATGCTCTCTATGTTGTGTCTCAGCTCCACGCCTACGACTTCTGTATTTGCCTCCCTCTTTCTCTAGGAAGTGTAAGTGTTTCCCTGACTTGGGAGAAAGGAGTTCAAGAGAGTGAAGGGAATATTCAGTGGGGAGCAGACTAAAACTAGGAGAACACAGAAAAGAGAAGCTGGTGGTTTCAGCTTAAAAATTCTGGCTGTTGTGAAGAGTTTGAGGGGAGGATTCTCCGTAGGCGTCAGGAAGAAGTGAGATAGCAGAGAAGGGAGAGACGCTCAGGCTCAGAGTCAGAGTGAAACCCCATGGGAGACCCACTTCTCAGGCATTAGCAGGAACTGGAGAGGGACAGTTGGCTCTGAAGACAAACCAGGGTGTGGTCAGGCTGTGCCAGGTGTTTGCCTTCTGTCTTCTCTGCAAAGTCAGACTTTCCCTGTCTGGATAAAAAGAGGAAAGCAAGATGTTTCTATATTTCACATGCAACAAATCTGAGATAGCAATTTAAAACAACTGACATAGAAGAAAAATAATCTACTGCTGATGTCTTTAAACATAAACCCACATAAATTGTATTGGGGAGTTGGAAAGAATGCTGGGATTGAGAAGACTGAAAATCTGCCCCATGTATTCTTTAGTGTTCAACTAGCTTCCTTTTTCTTCTTTCTCACAACTTCATGCTTTCTCTTCTATTTGAATTTTCAACACTCATGATACTATAGTGACA